GTAGCAGTAGCAGTAGTAGTTGTGGTGGGAGTAGTACCAGTAGCAGTAGTAATACGACTAGTAGTCTGAGTAGTGCAATTAGTTAGTACTAGTAGCACTAACCATAGTACTAGTTGTAGTACTAGTGCTAGTACTAGCAATAGTAGTGGTACTAGTAGTAGTTAGCAATCGAAGTAGGGGTAGTGGTGGTGTCGGCGGTGGTAATGGTGGTGGCTGCAGTAGTGGTAGCAATGGTAGTAGTGGTAGTAGTGGCAGAAGTGGCGGTAGTGGTAGTTGGGGCAGTAGTGGTGGTTAGTAGTGGTGGTGGTAGTGGTGGCAGTGGTAGTGGCAGGAGTAGTGAGTGGCTACCGTGGTGTTAGTTGTAGTGGTAGGGCCAGTGAATATGAAGTAGTAGATGGCATGTAGACAACATTTTGACGAACAGATGCGGAAATTAGAATCATGTGTAGCAGAGTGGAAGCATTATCATTGTCGTAGTCGTTGCCGTTGCGATGTTGGTGCTGCTCGCGATGGTGACCTCTGGAAGGTTCCGAGAGTGGGTGTGCCAGCATGATTGCAGTAGAGACACGGTTGGTAGTACTACAAGTGTCAGCAAAGTTAGTACTCGCAACATCGATGATAGACTAGTGCCGATGGACGGTGGCGAACCTTGCTCCTGAGCAGTGAGGGTGCACGTTTGTTGTACACGCGACACCGTCTCAACTCTCAGGTTTCACATGGTGTTTGTGCTGAAACTGTCTTGGCTGGACCCGGACCTGAAGAACTATAAGTCGCGCGTGGCTGTTCGAGAAATTGACGGCAAATCGAAGATTCATCTGCGCAAGCTCGACGTCATCATCACGAAGATGTATGCGAACGGCGATATCGAATACATCGACATGTCCGATGTCCATCAGACTGTTCAAAATCTCCGGAAGAACGAGTATGTCACTATTCAAGAGCCCGACTGGAGCGAGTATTTCTTTCCCTCATACTCGATCCTGAACCTGCAGCATGGAACGGAAAACCAAGTTGTTTTCCGAAAGTTGCTATGGTCTGACGAGAATGGTGGATTTGCCACGTATTCGATTAAGTACGACGCGACTTTGAAAGAAAGTCTGGACCTGCGCAGGTTTCCGCTAGACCGCCAGTTGTGCAGGACAGTCCGTCTCCCGTCTGCGTCTGGGTTTACCTTGATTGTAGGGGGTCTTCGTTTCTTAGATGCTGCCTGCTGCTGTCAGTCTCTGCTCCACTCACACTTTTAATCTCACCAACGCGAAAGGTCTTGCTCATCTTCTGTTTGCACGAAGGGATGTGTGGGCACTAGCAGCATGTAGATGAATGTTTTCGTGTGAGTCTTTCGGTGTTGCCTCTGCCCTGAACCCTAAACCCCAAACCCTAAACCACAAACTCGAACAGTGTACCCAAAACAATTCTAAATCAGTGCTTGATGTTCTGAATTCCAAACTGCAAGCTACAGACACAATCCATGTACTGTACTGATTGGGAGTTCGTACATATAGTATATCATACACGCAGTATTCAACACATCTAATATGTATACATGTATATATATATATATTGTAAATGTACACACCATAGAACATAATAGCGCGCATCTTACATAACACGTATAGTATACCACAAATATGACATTTAATACTCGTCGTATATAATGCATCTAATATATAGTCCATATTACATACAGTGCCTAATACTCTATGTCTGTATTTACAATATAATATATTATGGCAAAATCTCGGCACTGTGCATGCGGAGGATCAGGCTGACGGCCGAACGAACAATTGACGAATTTCAGCAGCTTGGTCTCACAATACCGTGCCTTCGCGGGTAGTCTGTGGAGGGGTTTTGACGTAGATGCAACTAGCCAATGACGCCATGTATAGGGTCCTGGCAGGCTGTATTGAACGGGTAGTTTCAATTTTTAGTAACAAACCCCCGCAGGAATCGAGAAGCCAAGATGTATTTACAAGCTAACCCACACTAAAGACAGGTAGTAGGCAAGGATTTTAGAGTAGTAGTAGTAGTAGTAGTAGTAGTAGTAGTAGTAGTAGTAGTAGGTAGTAGTTGTAGTCGTCGTCGTCATCGTCGTCGTCGACGTCGTAGTAGTGGTAGTGGTAGTGGTAGTAGTAGTTAGTAGTAGTAGTAGTGGTAGTAGTAGTTAGTAGCAGTAGCAG